CAACCTGAGCTGAAGTCGGACACTCAACCAACTGAGCCACCCAGGCGCCTCTATGAGTGCAGTTTTAATAACAAGGTGAGGGCAGAATAAATGTCTGCATGCCAACCAGGGAGGCTGGAAAAAGAAATTTGAACCTAAGAGAAAGATTTGAGACATCACCGACCCTTGCCTGACTCCATCTACAAAAATTTTGGTAAATTTGGCAACTGTATCCACACAAATGCTGGAAGGAGCCATACTCTGACTGCTCCCGTGTACTTGGGAGGCAGAGGCCTCGGCTGTGAGTCACCGCTAAGGTTCTGGGGCAAATCAGGTCACGGGCCTGCCTGCACTCCCAGCCCTGGGGTTGCGCTGGAAATACAAAATGGGACTAAACTCCGTCCTTTGCAGATGTAGCTTCGTATAGAGAAGCTTTACCAGTGCAGGCAGGGGCACGTTGGAAGACCTTCTCCCCACAACCTAATGCTAATGCCAGTCAGGATCAGGGGTGCTGAGGGTCCCTAATGTTCCTTCATAACCCCTACAGGGGTCTTGCTTCATCAGCATGATTTGCCCTCTCCTTAAAACTCTCTGTTTGCTAAAGGAACATTCAGATCTTAGGGCTCACTCTTGGTCCTATTCCAGACCACAGCAGGATTTACCTTCTCTCATTTGAGTTTGCCAGGAGCCAAAAGCAACATCCCAACCTCCTGTCAACTCAACAAGGAGAGATTTATTGCAAGTAACTAAAAAGACACTTGTCACGACAGGAACACCATATGCTTCAGCAAAGATAGGATCCCAGCTTGTGGCTGGCCTTTGCAAACAATCCTACCAACACAGACTTTTTTTTTTTCGTTGCACAGTCATTAATAATGCAACATTCAGCCCCAGGGGTGTTTCCAAGGTGGAGACTCAGAGGCTGGCACTCAGAGATCACCTCCAGGACAGAAGTTCTCAAAAGACTGCAGCAACCATTACAGACTCTTTGCTTAGATTGCTGGACCTCTCACTCGATGTCCAGCCTCCTTTTCTTCTTTACAAAAGAATCCTAGGTATATTTGGAGCAGCAAATTTGTAGCTAAAACTACTGCACTTCCTAACAGGCCTCCCATGGTCAAGATCAGCTACTTGCAAGGTAAAATCTCCTGGAAATTTCTGGGACAGTTTTGCCTTCCTCATAGAGATCCGGCCCCTCACCCTTCCTTTCTGCCTTTTTCTAGTGCTTGGCTTTTGTGAAGGCTGATTTAGCTGATCCTAGGTTTCTTTTCAATTACTTCCCAGGTTGTAATTGTGTCCAAAGGCTTTGAAACGTGCTGAGACTTCTAGATAATAAGAAAATTCCTGTAATATGAGTTGATTACTTTTTAAAAATTATACAGCTTGATATGGAATATTCTAAGTGAAAATAATTACACATCTGCCCCTTTTCAAAGTTATTAATTCATACACAGGCAGACATGAGATTAGGTAATTAGTTACAGAAAGGTCAAGAAGTCTGAGGAATGGGTAATTTATTTCAATGAAAGGAAAGAACTTATTTTGCTACAGTGGGGAAAAAAATGTGGAATTCAGAAATTGCTGCATTGAACTGTATCCCCATTTATCTCTGCGCAATGTTTTTATCTCAATGTCTCACTTCCCTCTACTTTCTTTTCGCACTAAGGTATTGAATGAGAAATATATCAAGTTGACTGACTTTAACTTATCTGATGTAGGGTGGCTTCTACAGCACTCTTCTCTTTTTTCTCTCAATAAATACTTTCGACTTTGACATTTGCCATCTTGGAAATGACAGGTGACTGAGGGCAAATGCATCAAAGTGATTAAGATCAGAATATTTGCTAAGGACCATTTTTTTCAGAGAGTAAAACATAGTTTTACTGAATCCTTGAAAAGCAGAGCTAAATAAACCTCCTTTTTTTGTGGGGGAAAGAAAACAATCCAAACAATTAGAAACCCAAGAAACTAACAATCGCACTTAGACCCGAGTACAAAATTTTTATTTTTCAAACTCGGACATTTTCCTGAAATACACTTATAATCCAAATACTCCTCTCCCTTCTTCCTTTTACAACATACCATTTCAATCTGTTTGTTTATAGAATGAAGGCCTTAAGGAAAAGCCTTATTCACATTCCCACAAAAAAAAAAATAAATAAAAATTTATCTCTAGGATCAATTTAACTGAAATTGACTAAATCCTGGTAGAGGCTCCAATCTTTATAACAGACACATAAGAGGGTGGATAAGCTTTCATTATCGACAAATTCCTACTAATGTAGCTAAAGAGTTCATTAAATTATTCAAATGCATTTATTGTGCTCCTATTATGTGCGAAGTGTTGTTCCAAAGTAGACACTCTTCCTTAGGTGTAAAGAGGGCCACTGAAATGATAACTGGGAGTTTATGACTTTGATATCCCCTAGTGATAGGAAATACACTAATGATAGGAAAAGTTTGCTATTGCTGCTTCCTGAAATGTCCAGTTTATTTTTAGGGAAGGAACAACCTACCCACTGGAAGACTATAACTCAAACTTCAGCTTTAATAAAAGCTGGAGTTAGGGAGTGGTTGTACCTGTGTGATATAACACAAACAACAATGCAAAGTACATTCTGGTGATCTACAATGCTAGCTATCTGTGCTAAGGTAGGCTAAGAAACGACACCAGTTTAAAAAGAAACCAGTACCAACTTCAAAAGAAACCAGGATACAGAGCAATTGCAATTTGTGGTAAAAATAAAAATTTACAACCACTAACCCCTTCCCCCAGCACTGAAAGTACAGTTCCTCAGACACTTGGCTATCATTTGGGAAAGATGGGGGTAGACTGGATAAATTTAAAGCGTGTTAAATAATTAAATAACACAGCCAAGTATTGCGTGTGTGATCCCAAAGACTTTTCGACATATTTTTTAACATTACAGTTGTAGGAATGGAAATTGAAAAAGTTATACGTATTTTCTTAGAGACAGCTTACAGATTCCTTACGGATCTCAAAGTGAAAATATGACACATCGCCACCATGACACAAGCTATTTTGTCTGTCATCCCTAAGACATAACTTCATAGGACATCAGACTTCCCATGGTCTGAGTGTTTCCTTCACGTGCCTCTAAATTGGGGTTCTCCCCTGAATAAAACAGGTTCACTTTTCAGATCAAGTGTTATTTGCTGGCCAACTGCCTTCAGGATAAATATGCTTGCATCATTTCTATAGCCCGCAAGTCAAACCTCCACTGATAAACTTAAATTCGGCCCCATCTCTCTGTTCAGAACTTCCTGCCTTTGCTGGGGAATGAAAGTCCCCTCTGACGGAGAGAGACTTATTCAAGGAGAGCGATGCTTTTTCCAGCTCATGAGCCACCTGACGAAGGCAAACAACCTCATCTCCTTAAAAGAGCGTCCATAGTCTCCCATTCAGAAGTCTGCTATTCCTATTACTTCCTAAATGTGGTGTGGGATTAAATAAAATTAAATGCAAATAATAAACGGTAATTAAATAACAAACTTAAAATAAATTAAAAACACAATACATGGTCTGGCGGTTTTCATAGAAGGTAACAAAGGTCAATCTGCATTAAGTTCACAGTCCTTCAGGTACCAGTTTCTACAATGATTGGGCAACACTGCCCTCTAAAGGGATTATTATGTTATATCCCTTACTTCACATGGTGGGAAATTGCCCCAGGATGCACTGACGTATCTCACGCACAAACACATTCTTTCTTTTGCTTTTGGGACACTGTCTGTCCTTGACCTTCTGTGAATGACTCTGAAGACCACGGAGCCCCTAGGGAGGCCATAAAACTTCATGAATGCCCACAAGGGGGTCGGATACCAGTATCTGCTGCGGTGATTTTCAAACCTTAATAGGTATCAGAATCACCCCCCCACCCCCCGCCCCGTGGGCTTGCTTACACACAGGTTGATGGGCCCCACCTCCAGTTTCAGATCCCTTAAGTTGACAGTTGGGTCCAAGAATTTGCCTTTCTAACAAGTTCCCAGGTGATTCTAACGTTGCCAGTCCAGGGGCCGCACTTTGTGAGCCAGACACTGCCCTTGGCACCTTAATCTCACTTAATACCTCACAACAGGGTGAGGGTTTAGCATCTGTTCTACAGACCAGAAAGCCAAGTCGCGGAGAAATGAACTGGCCAAGGTCACACAGCAGCAACAGAGCCAGTAACAAACCCAGCGCTGTCTCACTCCAAGCCACTGCTCTCTTCTGTACACCAGAATGTCAGTAAATGAAGCTGTTAGTCACTTCATCTTCCTTGGCCTCTGCTTCCTGTTGCGAGGGGGCAGGAATTAGAGGACTGTTTAGTTGGTTTTTCTCCCAGGGTATCTGGAGGTCTGGATATGATTCCCTCCCCCACCCAGGAAGATGCACTCTGCCCCAGGCTGGATTTGAGAACGTGTACAAGTAGAGGGGAGGGAAGGGCACATCAGTGGGAGAGGACCCCACTGATGACCCCACTGATGAGCCCTGCCCGTTCAGAGGGGGTCTGATTTGCTCTGGATTCTGGAGTTCTTTTACACTCAGAAAATCTGAAAGAGAGGTTTCAAAGCTAGTGTCTCCTCTCACAGGCATTCTGAGGACCTCAAAGCCTACTGGGGCTTGGAGAGGACCCAGAGGGTGGCTGCGTGGCACCCTCCCCAACCTGCTCAAACCACCTGCGCTGTGGCAGGGACCCTGAAACAACTTCAATAGAGTAGCGCCCACCGTTGTGGAGACTGAATCGTTTTGATAAAGGAAAAATAATTTTCGGGTCACATGTCCCACAGGATGTGGCAAGTAAAAAGTCCCTAGCATTCAGCCCCAGGCAGGATGTCCTAGTGTTAGGGAAAGAAGGTCTGTGACTCCCTCCTACCCCCAATTTCAAGAACAGTTTTTCTCATCCTTTGCATTCAGTTCAGCTCCTAATCCAACTTGGTGTTTTCCTGAGGGAGCTACAAATCTGGAGCATCCCATGGGGATGGTTTCTGGCCTCGGTCACAAGGGGGAAAGGATGTTCTCAGAAAAACAGCCCCGCGGGCTGGTCCGCAGAGATCTTGAGGTCGTGGCCACGGCCGCCCTTCGTGCAGAGCTGGACTCTGGACTCCAGCTGCTGGCTGAGTTCGTCCAGGGCCCCGGTGCAGGACTCCAGGCTCTCGGCCAGTTTCTGAATCTTGGCCTTCAGCACGGCCTGGCTAACCTTGGTGGCCCCCTCGGCCCGCCTGGGGATGAGGAAGCCACGTGAGCCGAAGAAGACGATGAAGTAGACAGAGTTGTAGAGGGCGATGGAGGCGTTCTGCCCGCACTGCAGCAGCTGGCGGTCCCCGCGGCCCTGGCAGCGGCAGAAGAACTCCAGGCAGCTCAGGATCTCGCGCATCTGGTCCTGGCAGGCGGCGGCGATCTCCTGCACCCGGCGCAACTCCCGGGAATTGCAGAAGATCAGGGAGAGGTCGGACGTGATGGTGACGGCCCCTCCGGCGGTGGCCACGCCCAGCCCCACGGCCGACGCCACCAGCGAGACCCCCAGGGTGAGCGGGCTGAGCGAGAGCCCCACGATGGCGGCCACGGCGCCCGCGGCGCTCAGGGAGCTGCCCGCCACGTTGGCCGCCAGGGAGCGCCGGCGGAGGCGCTCGAGGCGCCGGGCCACCTCGCGCAGGCGCAGCACCTGGCCGTGCAGCCGGCCGCGGCGGTCCAGCAGCAGCCCCTGGAAGCGGCGCAGCGCGTCGGCGCCCTGCAGCTCCCGCGCCGCCGGCCTCTCCATGCCCTGCGGGGACACAGACGCGCGGTTAGCGCGGAGTCTCGGTGCTCCCCCCACGCCCCAGTGAGGCTCCGCAGCGACTGCCACGCGAGGGGGAACGGGAGGGGCATTTTCCAGCGAGTCCTGTGGGTCAGGTGCGCAGGGACCAGTTCTGTACTCTGGGACAAGGCACCCTAGTTCCCGGGACCTTAAAAACGCGTATGCAATGCCCTCGTCCGCTTCTCTCCCCCGGGGAACGCTAAGGGTGGGCTTTATTAACTGTTAAATAAGAGGTAAGCTCAGTGAGGAGGGCGTGCAGGCATTACTCTGCCGCAATACTGAGGCCTCTGCTCTGTTTAAAACATCACTTTACAGGTGGTGGGTTGTACCAGTTCACAAAGCCCTGTCCTTACCTGAAGACTCGGATCCTAACACTTTTGCAATTCATTGTTTTGCGTCTGGGATGAGTGAAAAAGACAAGTCCCCCCAAAACTCAAAAATCATATTGTCCGTCAAATGTAAGGAACTAATTTTGCTACATTAGATGCTTCCCTGAAGCAACTCTTGTGCTTGTTGTTTTTCCAGGCTCTTACCTTACAATCAAGCCTAAAATGTTATTTGGGCCATCTTTTCTAAGTCTCACTCTTTGATGGGTGCTTCATTAGAACTAAGTTCCAGTAAATGAATACTGCTATGTTTCTTTATTCCAAACGCTTCCTTAAAAAATGAGTAGCCACTGAATGAAATAAAGTGTCCAACATTTTTAACAACTCGCTGAGGGCTACCTAGTACCAAGTTGAGTTGCAGCCAATTGGAGATGACTAAGAGAGACAACTGTACATCTGGGGTAAAAGTATATCCTTCCTAGTTGCCAAAGATCCCCACCTTCCTAACCACTGTACTCATCATTATTAGGACCTTCTTAAAAGTGGCAGATAAGCCATAGCAAGAGAATTTCAACACTGTGACATATCAGCGTAGAATCCTTATTCTCATCTGAAAGAGGAGAAAATTGAAACACAGACACATTCTAGATACAGCTGACTCTTCACAGAACCATCTAGAATCTTGGTCTCCTGACTCCTAGGTCTTAATTGTATTCACATGCCCCCATTATTCCACTCACCAGTGATAAATTTCCAAGTAAAGAGACCTCTTAGCAAAATGAGGTAAAGTCACACAAAATATATAGGGGACCAAGGATATAACCCCAGTATTACAATCCCAATGGCAATCTTTCAGACAGAATCCTTCTAGGCTCCCCCACTTACCATTCACTTCTGGCTATCTCCAGGAAAGAAAAATCTGAGGCTGTTTCTGGATGAGCATGCTTTATAGTTCCAGAGAACCAATGATTGCTCTGGGAAAGCCTGGTCTCATTCTCAGAATTTGCCATTTCCTGTCCTGGCCCCTGCTGCCTTCAACCAGAAGGATGTGACATGGTGGAAAATGACCTGCCAGCCACACAGCACATCCCGTATCTAGGAAATGAACATTGTGTGTTCGCTTTCCCCCAAACGCAGGAAAAGAACCACAGGCTCTTCCCCAACTTGAAACAAGTGTTGTCATTCTCCCAAGGGGCATACCCTGCCTTTCCTCTCCTGAGAATAGCCAATGACGTTATCTGGGAGGACAACTAACGTACCCCAGGCTGACCAATTATAGTGTTTCTTGAGAGGGCACCACCACAAAATCATTTTTTACAAAGAAAAAGAAGAGGGAGAACCCTCTTATGTCTGAGGTAGCTACTCATAATCCACTCCCGTATTTTAAAAATCACTGTGGATCTGAGTGGTTGAAAGGCGATCCATTCAGCCCACAGCCTTAAGAATGTAAGACCACACCCACAGGAAGTGCTGCGTGCAGTTTTGGGCATCTCCAGCTGTGGAGAAGATACTGGAGGTCTCAGAAAGGGCACACTGCAGGCCAAATGCGTCAGAAAAATCAGTGGGGTCAGGCTGTACAAGGAGCTAATTATACACTTTCCACAGCCGGGATTTGGCTTCCTGGGTTTTCATTTGAAGTGGCAATTATAGCCCATACAATAGTTAAATGAATGGATCCTATCCCTAGGTTAGCGAAGCATGGGCTGAAGGGCAATCATCTGGATAATTCAGAAGGGAAAAACACATACAGCATCTGTGGATACTTTCTGGGGCATTCAGATATGTGGTTGGAGCTCAGCCTGGAAGCCCCAAATACATCATCCTTCTAATATTCCCACCTTCGAATAGGAAGGCCAAATTGGTTTTTCACTTAAATAATTATGGTCTCAACTCTCTGGTTCATCTGGAAAGTCTTAACAGCCATATCTTTCTGGAGCATAATGAATTTCTCCATCTTTATAACTATGCTTTGTATTTATCAACACGACACCATTTGCTGTGACTCACAACCGCAGTCCTTTTGAACTTGATTTTTCAGAATTTGGTCCATGTCCAAATATTCCGGCTACAGCTCCTCAAAGGAGAAATATGAACTTAGTCAAGATGCCTTCAGTGTCTCCCTGTGCTTTTCAGGTAAAAGGTAGGAACATATCTTCCTCTGTCCCCATAGACATAATCACTCCAAACGGAATGTGAGCCAGAGTGCACTGGGGCAGGGGGCAAGGTGGGAATGTACCCTGGTTCTTCAGCTCCCAACTTCCCTGGATATTTCCTTGGGTGCTCGGGTTTAGAAGACCACAGTTAAGCTTGTATTTCTTGGGCGAGGAATCTTATTGGGATACAGGAGGGTCGTCATCTTCAGAGCATCAGTAATCATAGTACAGACCTATAGTGAAGAAAACAGAAGGTAGAGGAGAAGGGTCAACATAAGGCTTTGAATTACTTATAAGAATGGACACTTGAATATAACACGTTCATCTCAGCATTTACTTTCATATATTTAAGCACAATAAGAAATCTGAGGAATGATTGAAAACTTTTGATCAAAAGTTTTATCCTCTTCTCATTGTGCTGCAAATCTTTATAGCCTTTACGATACGGACTTCTGTGTATATGTTATACTGATTCTTTTTTTTTTTTTAATATTTATTTATTTTTGAGACAGAGAGAGACAGAGCATGAACGGGGGAGGGTCAGAGAGAGAGGGAGACACAGAATCCGAAACAGGCTCCAGGCTCCGAGCTGTCAGCACAGAGCCCGACGCGGGGCTCAAACTCACGGACCGCGAGGAGATCATGACCTGAGCCAAAGTCGGACGCTCAACCGACTGAGCCACCCAGGCGCCCCATATGTTGTACTGATTCTACTCTCTGCTTTTATCCTTTGGAGACTGGGAGACACCCCAAAAAGGTAAATGCTGTCAAGAGTAGAACTTTGTAGCTGTAGATTAGTTATGTTTAAAATGCCTACTTGCAAATCTTGCTTCTTTGGGATATCAAAATGTATTTTGTGATGTATTAAGGATACTGGTCCTGAAGTCTACCAAATATAATAGTGCATTTTAGCCTAATTCATTATCTGTATGAAGTTATAAAAGTAGCCGTAGATGACTAGGAATGACGTCATTTGTATTAAACCCAGATCTATTTCTGAGTATGTGGTTCATGCTGTTGTGAAAAATGTTTTACCTTTTACCTTTGTCAGTTTGTAATGAGAGGATTTCCTTTTACCCTTTGTAGCTCAGAGAGCACCTGATGTATCATCTCAGACACAATAAACATGCTCCTGAAGGTCAAAAAAAAAAAAAAAGTTTTGTGTGAGTTGTTCCCCCAAAAATCTGTGGCCTGCATCCTCAAACTTCTATTCTAAATTATGTCTGGGGCACTTGTAACACATTGTCCCAGAGAGACTACATTGAAAATGGTGGCTGACCCTCAGATTAGCCTTCAGATCTGTTAAACCTATGATGCAGATAAACCATACTATGAACGGTACTAACTTGAATTCTGAGTTCTGGAACCATAAGGAAATACAGGGGAGGAAAGAAGAGAGGAAGAGAGCCTTTTAACCATAGTCATTTCCAGACTCCAGTCCCGAAGAGTTTAAATCAAGAGGCCCAGAGTGGGGTCTGGGAAAACGTAGGTGATTCTGATCTGTAGCCAAGGTTGTGAACCTCTGCTCTAAAAGCTGTGAATGTTCTGACTGCTGGTTACATGGCAGCAGAAACAGTAGGGCTAAGTGACAGCAGTTTGTGAGTTAGGTGATTTTTTTTGTTTTTGTTTTTAATGTTTACTTATTTATTTATTTTGAGAGAGAGAGAGAGAGAGAGAGAGAGACAGTGTGTGTGTGTGTGTGTGTGTGTGTGTGTGTGCGCGCGCATGAATGAGGGAGGGACAGAGTAGGAGAGAGAGAATCCCAGGCTGGCTCCACACTGTCAGCACAGAGCCAGACACGGGGCTTAATCTCACAAACCAGGAGATCACGATCTGAGCCGAAATCAAGAGTCCGATGCTTAACCAACTAAGCCAGCCAGGTGCCCCTGTGAGTTAGGTGTGTATACAGTTATTAATAGACATTAATTTGGGGACCCTTGTTAAAACTATCACATTTTAAGATAAAGTGATGATTAAAACCAGGGGTCTCCCAGAGATCCAGGGACACCTGGACCACCTCCATGTTTTTGAGGATCTCAGTGAATTAAAAAGGTAAAACATTTCTCAAACAAGATATAAAAAAAAATGTGGTTTCTTTTCATTGCAATGTAATGTATATTGCAATGTCAATATTTTGCTATTCACAAGATAATCACAGGATTTATAAAATATTAATTCACAGTGCACTACACTGGTAAAGCAACACAAGTTTAGAATTGTATGATGATAATTTTTTCCTTTTAATCTTTACCAGAATATCTTACTGACTATACATAGAACCTCTTTTGGAGTCAACATCAAAAGTATAAAATTGAAACAATTTGTGAATGAGAGGTTTAGGCCAAAGGTCTTTCAAACTTTCCTGTGTTAATGGTCTTAATATGTACAGTCACTCAAATAAATAAAAGTAGGTTAAAATAATAACACAGATCCATCTGAGCATTTTTGCCCATGTGATTTGTAAATGTCATGAGAACATAAGCAC